CAAGCAAGTTTGGGTCTAGCCAGTCATGGCTTGGCTCAGGAGAGCCCAGAGGGTGGGCAGTGCCCTGGCTTTCAAAGCAAGGACTGTGCTTTGAATACAGGCTGGGCTCATTCACTGCCACCAAACCTCTATCTCCTCTGCTCTCATGCCATGGGGGCAAATGCAGGGAAAGCTGGAACGTGTGACTTTGAGCAAGTCTTTTCATTTTGCTGAATCCCTATAGGGCTTTTCTGAAGATTCACTAATGGTGTGGAGGTGCCTCTCACGGAGCATGGCCGAGGACAATTTGTGGCTCTCATCTGCTGAGGGTGGGATGGGAGAGGAGGTGCAGAGGGCTGGATAGTCTGAGGGAGGAGGAGTTTGCTGCCAGCTTCTCTCCCTGCCCTGGCGGCTCGTGTCCATAATGCCCGTCTAGGCCATCTTCTGGCTCCTGGAAGGATCCACCCAGGCTGCTGGAAATAACTGCGCAGACCATCAGCGGGCAGGGGTTGGGGGTACCAGCATTCCCGAGACCACACTGGGTTCCTGGCAGTGTGCTGAAGGCCAGCCTTCTCACCCACATTGCCTGACCCTGCAAGTGGAATTGAAGACACAGAAGTTAGCAGGAGGGGACGTTACACCTAATCAGTGCTGTTAGGCCCTCTGGCCAAGCCATAAAACAAGAGAACAGGAGTGACACAGGCACTCCCTTTGAACTTGAATCCTTTCTAAACTGCCACTCCAGCCCCAGGGAGACCACAAAGCAGCAAGCAAGAGGGAGCCCCCTCGGGCCCCTCCTCAGAGGGTCAGAAAAAGCCCATTCGCTCCTCACCTTATCCCGGATGCTTAAAAAAATATTGTGGTAATGTAGGTCAGTGAACTGACCGGCACCACACACCAGCAGGATTACAGGGCCCGCCAGCCCGCACGCTGGCCCGCCTGGTCAGATGAGAACATAAACAAGAAGTGCTGGGAGCCCTCCACTTCCCCAGCCCTAGGCTTTTGTTTATGTAGCACTTAAACCAACTTTGGGGTCGTTGCAGTCTGCCTTGAAAGCCCTGAAGCTTTTTGAAGTTCCCCTGAAGTTAATAAAATTAGTCTGCCCCCATTGCAAGTCCTTGGCTTGGGGGAGAAGATGGATCCTCCACCGTGTCTGTGGCATTTCACTTTTTAAGTTAATATTCTATAACCAAAAGAAAGAGGGAGGCAGGGGAGAAGATGCAGTAGAAAGTCTTGTGAAATGCCTTCTTGCTAATAGGTAGCATGCCTGCCAGCCACCCCGTGGCCCTGGTCACGGTGAAACCCAGCCGCCAGGCCCACTGGAAGGCCAAGAGATGGGCCGCTATGCTCCAGGGTCAGGGATGACCAGCTCTGGGGCGGGCAGGGGAACTAGGCGCAAGGTGAGGCTGTTGGCTCCCTCTCGAATGAAATGTACCACCAACCACGAGTCCGCTTGAGTGATTTTCTTTTGCCCCCAAGGAGCCAAGAGTCACCTTCTGTCTCCCTCCCCACCTGCGTATCATGTGCATATTTATTGGGACCTTTCGTGGGTCAGGGCCATGTGAGAGAGAACTCCCAGTCTGTCTGGTGAGGGACACAGACAGGCCAACTGCCTGTGATGAGACAGAGCGGCCAGGCCTTGGGACAGGAGGTGCCTGCCACATGGGGAGGCTGTCTGAAGGAAAGCTTGTCCAAGCTGAGCCTGGGAGGACTGCCAGGGGTCCGGGGTGGGTACAGAGTTGGGAAGAGGGTGGGGGGATGATAGACATGTTCATTATATTCACTAGCTTGATGGTAATGGTTTCATGGGTATCTATGTATATCTCAAATTCTCAAGTTTTACCTAAAATATGTACATGCTGTTATATATCAGTTATGCCTCAATGAAGTGTTAAAAGATGAAAGACCACAGGCAGGACTGAGCATTGCAAGTGTACCAACAATCAGTTATGTACATGTTCCACTTTGACTTAGGCATTCAAGGAGCGCACATATGGTAAGTGGTGTTTACATGCAGGAAATGCAGCTGTGGAGAAGAGAGCCATGTTTCTGCTTTCTCGGACCTGGGTCCTGCTTGGGAGGAGTAAACAAGTAACAGATAAAACAGTGGCGTAATATCAGGGATGATCTGTGCTCCGAAGACAGAGACAGGACCAGGGTGTGCAGAGGAGCAAGGGCTGGGGTGCAGGGGGCCACAGGCACGAAGGCCTTGACTGGGGCCCTTGCTGGGCACCAAGGGCCTGCCCAGAGATGGGGACGCCCTGTCTGCAGTGAGCAGTCCAAAGGCAGAATGTAATTACCTCCCACAAGGATATGCATGAGCCGCTTGAGGCAGGAGCTTTGATTTGTCCTCAGTGACACACCAGGCACATGGTAGGCTCTCGATAAGTATTTGTAGGGAGAAAGGAAGGACATTATGAATTTGGGGTGAATTTTCTGCCTGGATTGCCCATTGGGTCCCTGTGGTGCCTTTTATAAGATGGTTCTCTAGGTAGGTTGTAAGCTCCTGGTGCAAGGACTGTGCTTTATCATCTCTCAGCCAGCCATGATGCTGGGGACAGGTCTTCTGTCTCAGCTGGCTCTGTCTCACAGGCCAGCAAAGGCCTGGGACCCACCCGTCCTGCCCAGAGTGCCCCAGGGCTTCGCGGCAGCACCAGACCCGCCTGCTTCTCCAGCTTGGGGTGGGGGGTGTGGTCAGTGGAGTCTTTCTCTGCTTGAATGCTGGAGCATAGGCTCTGCAGAAGCTCGCCATGCTTGGGTTTGAGCTTTTACTGTGCCGCTGGCTCTGGCGACAAGCACTTCCCTCAGATCTCCCCTCTAACCGCCCTGAAGTAGGAATGAAAACCCCTTGCACATAGGGGTGCTCGAGGGCTCAGTGGGGCTCTGCTAAATGACTCTGTCATAGGCTGAGGTGCCCTGAGGCAGTCTCTTTCTCCTGAGGACAGGTGGCCTCTCTGTAGCACAGGCTGAGCTTGGGACAGGAAGTGGCACAGAGCACCTCTGGAATGGCTAATCCAGAGCCATAGGGTCAGTTCAGCTAAACAGCCTGGGCCCCTACTGTACCGGGCGAGGCTGCTGAATGTGAGAGGCAGCCCTGCCTCCCGGGCTCCGGCCAGGCTGGGAACAGAACTCCACATGCAGGCCACTCTGGTGGGTGTGGAGACAGGACTTCTGGGAGCCGGGGAGCCCGGGAAAGCATGTGGGGCTGGTGACATCTGCTCGCCCTCGCTCTCCGTGTCCTGCAGGTCAGAGGAGCCGGCTCCATTCATTTGACCCAGCAGCACCCACAGATGAGGCAGAACCCACGGCAAGCCAGCCCACAGGGGAGCTGTGCTGGAGCCGAGTCCTGAAGGACGAGGAGAAGTTCATGTGTGGGAATGAGATTTGTGAATTATAAAGGGCTATGCAAGTGGAAATGATTATTCTTATCGTTGTTTGTATCCAATTCATCCATCACTGGGGAGAGGAGGAATGCGAGTACCTTTTATCTGGCACTATGAATCAAATAGAATAGGGTATGTTTTTCTAGAAGGGTCTTAGGGTAAATAGGACAGTTTCTACCTTTCAAAACAATCCATCTGGGGCCCTTGGCCCCATCTTGGCGTCTTGGGCAGAGGTGAGAGGTTTCTGAGGTTGAGGACAGCCCAGCCCACGGGGGTCCCCCGTGAGCCTCAGCCTCAGGAGGAGAGCACGTGGAGGCCGCAGGTGCTACCGCTGGTAGCGCTTCTGGCCTCCCCGCTGCTGCCCGGGCTGGTGCCTGCTCACACTCAACCCTGTGCGCGGGGCCTGGAGAGCAGGGGGAAGCCTCCCCCGTTGCGCTGTGGCATGCCAGATGCCAGGTGGGGCATGGATGTCCTGCCCCACAGTAGCGGCGACTCTCAGGCTGAAGCTCTATGTTAGCCTGTCTGAGGTCATCTGGGAGAGGGTCTCGTCTTTCATGTCACACACACACACCCCCTTTCTCTCTCTTTGACACAGACGCCTGGCCCCTTCCTGGCACCGGCCCTGGAAAGGAGCCGGGCAGGGCAGGGGAGGCCACCTGGGGGGTTGGGGAGCTTCCGGCCATGCCACCTTCCCTGAGGGGAGATGGTTCTTCAGCCTTCTCATGGTCGGTCCCTGGGGAGAGGTTCAAGGTGAACATAGCTCGTACTGAAATCAGGGCTGTACCAGGTTGGCTTTTTCACACACACGCATGTCCCTTCTGTCCACCTGAGCCTCCACAAAGAGGTGAGGGGCACAGGTTCAGCAGTAGAGGGCCTGGCCATGGCCAGCAGGGAGCCAGGGGAGCTGGGGCTTCTGCCGGGATGGGGGCAGGAGGGCGTCATGCAGAGCGGGCAGCGGGGCTGTGGAGTAGATGTGGGCCAGGCTAGGAAGGGGCTCTGACAGAGTGAGGAAAGCCTTGGCTGAAATACATATGTGCAGAGAGTGCTGGAGCAGCAGAGACTGCGTTCTCAGACACTCCTTGTGGGAGGGAAAAGCAGAGAGAGGGCGAGGCGAGTTCTAGAAAGCCTTGCTGCCGGATCGGGAGTGGATGTCATCCTCTCGACCTGGGGTGTCCATGCAAGCTTTCCTGAGGAGAGTGCTGCTAGCCATCATTAGACAAGTGCTCAAGGACAGGCAGGGTGCAGTGGCCACGCAGAGGCAGGTGCAGGCAGGGCGATTGTGGCTTCTGAGTTCCCTCTGCCCTGGGAGCTCTGTGACCTTGGACAGATGGCCTGACTCTGCTGTGTCGCCAGTTTGTGTCTGTAAAGTGAGGAAAGAGTGCCTCCCTCCCATTGCTGCTGTGGTGCTAAGTGTGACCCCCATAAAGTTCTCGCAGGTGGCCCGGCAGCAGCCGGGGCTCACTGGAGGTCAGTGGTGATGGTGATGAGGGCTGGCCACCGCATGGCCCCAGTGCATTCCGTTGTCAGTGAGATGGGCAGATCACCAGGCGGGGACGGGGGGCAGGGTGTAGAGGCAGCAGGCCTGGCCTCCTCTAGCACACACTGATGCTCTCTCTGGGGCTGGGTGTGTGGGGACAGGTGATGGATGACCACAGCGTGATCGGCCGCTCCCTGTTCAAAAAGGAGACCAACATCCAGCTCTTTGTGGGCCTCAAGGTGTACCTATCCACCGGGGAGCTGGGGGTCATCGACAGCGCCTTCGGCCAGAGTGGCAAGTTCAAGATCCACATCCCTGGTGAGTGCAGTCCCTTCCTCCCACTGGCAGGTACTGTGCAGGCATGGAGAGATGGTGGAGACAGTGCATGGACAGTGTCCCTTGGCTCAGGATGCTCAGCCTGCCTGAGCTGATGCACAGGGCCCAGCCCTCTCAACGTCATGGCTTCCTGTCCCACGGGCTTGTGGCTGGAGAGCCAGGGTGGGTCCTGGGGGGGCTGGTGTATAGTCAGCCTCTGGTCTGAGCCAGGGTCAAGGTGTGAGTCTGAGCTCCTGCTCCACAGTAAACCATACAGGGGTGACCTTGGGTGAATTACCTGGCTTGTCTGTGAAGTGCGATACCAATCCTGATCTGGGAGGTGCTTTGGAGGAAGAGTTGGTGAGAGAGACTGCCAGGGGCCTGGCATACTGCCCCAGTAGTCAGTACAGTTTCCCAGAATATGAGTTGCCACCTACTTTTTTGCCCGGTGGAGAACAATAGGTGCTGAGCCTCTGAGGGATCTGAGTTGGGACTTATCCATGGTGGGGTCAAAGGTGTGCCTTGCTCTTGGGAACAGAGCCCTTGGATCTCTTTAGTTTGGCCCTCCCTTCCATCACTGCTGCACTTACCCCACACCCATCTTCTGGAGGTCCTGCCACACACCAGGCAGGCTGCTGTGGTCGTGGGAGGGGACAGGTGGGACCACATTCGGTGAGTATCTACTGTATGTCGCAGAAAAATAAAGCAGGGAGAGGGTGAGAAGCACTGTGTGTGTACCTCTGGACAGGGGCGATCAGGGAGGACCTCTCTGAGGAGGTAACAGTTGAGTAGGGCCCTGACCAAAGGGAAGGAGGGAGCCCCACTGACACCAAGGGAAGGAACACTCTGTGGAGAGAGGGGACAAGCGCAAAGGCCCTGGGGTAAGGGTGAGTTTGGGTGTGCGTTTGAGGAGTGGTTGTTTGGCACGAACTGGGAGGCATGTGGGATGCCACTTTTCTTCGCCAGCATTGTGTTAGGCCAGTTCCCAAACATGCAGCAGAGTTGAAGGATGTTACAGAGAAAGCCTGATTTCATATCAGCCTGTGGCTGTACTTTGCATGTCTGCAGGACTCTGGGTTTTATTCTTGTGAGGATTGGAAAGCCATGGGGAAGTTCAGATCCGGTCAGCAACGTGCTATTGGTATGTAGCTTCTTGAGTGAAATCTCCAGGTAGGGTAGTGCCCTGGCCGAGCAAGGAAACAGGAATGCCAGCTCCCTGGCAGCTCACTGAGTGAAGTCAGTACCCTCTGCTCTCCTGAGAGCCTGGCTGAGGGGCCTTGCCTCCTGAGTCCTTCTGCAAGCCCAGAGCGTCATGTGTGGCATTTGCCGTCTCGTGAGGAAGGGCAGCAGGCATCAGAGGCCTGCTTCCCTGTGGCCCTCAGAACCACTGTTTGTACCCCGAGGTCTCTGTCAGGGTGGAGTTCAGCTCTGTCGCAGTTGGAGATACTCCCTTGGGGCAGGCAAAGTGGCCCACCGATAGGAGCCTCTAACCATGATACCAGGCTTCAGGCTCCTGCCCTGTCCTCTCCACTGCTCTGGTCATTACCTCAGCCAAACCGGGGTCCACAGTGCCCTGCTCTGGGTTCCAAGGAGCACACACAAGGCATGAGCCAGGCAGGCCAAGGTCCAGACCTCTGTTCCCAGGGCCCTGGGCCTGTACCTGTGGGGGCTTACTGGAAGGAGGGGTACAGGGCACTGGGAGGGCAGAGGGGAGCTGCCTGGAGTTGGGGGGCTGCACCCTGGAACACTCATCCCTCCCCCAGCTGTGGGGGCCTGCTGGTTCAGACAAGGGAAGGACAGCACCATCTGTTTCCTTTTTTGGGGGTGTGTAGAGTCATGCCGACATTCCCTCAGCTCCCCTTCCTTTAGCCTGAGGCAAGCTCAGAGTTGGGGTGTTCCCAGAACAGGCCGGAGTACAAGAGGAGGCTTGTTTGGGGGCCCTGGGTGCTGGGGTGGGAGTACAGGGAGGGAGACACAGTGCCGCTGCTTCAGTCAACTCAAGTTCACATTCCTTTGTTAGGTCAGTGTTGCCTTTTTAATAGGTCTGCTTCCTGTTTGTGGCTTTTAAGCTTTTTATTAAATATAACTGGTCAGATTCCTTCATCCCACCCACCCCACTCCTCACCCCCCTCCTGCTTGTCTTTTCCTGCCGATTCCTCCCATAAAGAATTACTTTTAACCTTTTTGAAGTGCATTAATTGTGAAAGACTCTTCAGTGAACCTGAGACACCCAGTGCCAGGTGGAGGAGGAGGAGCGATGCTGGCTGCGAGCTGCAAGTGCTGGTGTGCGGAGGCCCAGGGCTTTGGTCCCATCTAAGGCTCCCAGAGCAGGAGCGGTTCAGGGGAGAGCTGTCCAGGCCCCCAGACTGTGGGTGGAGCTGGGTCAAATGTGGCCTATGGGCCTTGGTGCTAGCTCTGCAGGGCAACACAGTGGGCGAGGCAGTCTAAATATCATCTAGATGTCCTCCCATCTGCCCCTCACCCCCAGCCCGGGTGCTCCCTGGGGCCTCTCACTTCCGTGACAAGGCCAGATGCCAACAGGGCCTAGCAGGTGTTGAAGAGACCAGGTGGCAGGCAATAGGGAGTGGTGGGGACCATGGTGGCCTGCTACTCAGGTCTCTTGCTGTAGGCCAAGGAATCTAATTTTATCTGATTTCATTTTTATGTAAAACTTCCTGATTAAAAATATAAAACTGTCCAAACTAAACAAAACATACCTTTGGGCTGGGTTTGGCCCATGGCGACTTGTAACTCCTACTTGAATTTCAGGACCAACACTTACTCCTCAGGTTCATGAGTCAAAGGTGAACCGTAAAATGGAAACAGTGTTTTATGGAGCCCTAGATGCTGGCCTCTGAGACAGGAGTCCTGACACTGAGCCCATGGCTTCCCCCAGAAGATAGTCTCCAAAATCAGAGGGGCTAGAGGGATAGCCCCACATGACACCCAAGGAGCTGACCCAGAAAGTCTTGAGGGGGCCTCAAGATTGGGAAGCCCCACATTTACATAGCTACTCCCTTCAAGAAAGTGGCCTCTGTTTGTAAGTCCTGGGAGGCTGGGAGGTCCTACAAGATGAGCTAGGAATGCACTGGGTTGCACTACTACAGAGAAGGAGTAGGTAGAAGACTTCACAGGCAGAGTTGAGGCTCCTCCTGAAGATCCAGCCCATGGCATAGTGACTCTGCTTCCCAGGTGCCAGGCGCTACATTGTGGAGCCAGGTCCGGTGGCCTTCATCTCCAGGTGGGCCTAGGGAGCAGCAGGGCTGAGCGCCTGACTCATGGTCTGTCTGGGTGGCCAGCCTGTCCCTTCTCGCCCTGCCAGCCCCAAGAGAGGGGTCAGGGCTTTGGGGAGCTGGGCTCTTGGGGTCCACGTGTGGGTGGAGACCCCCCTGTGCGGGGTGGCCTGGCCTGGGCTGCCACTGCTCACCCTGCTCTTCCCGTGCCGCCCTCCACTCCACACCAGCATCCCAGAACCAGCTGCCACCAACCCCACACACCCCACTCTGCAAGGGAAATGAGCTCCTTGATGACTTCCTGCCAGAGAAGAGTCAAGGGGAGGAAGACACTTGTCCCTCCTAACAGCTACGAGCTACCTCTTACTGACTCTAGGGGAGAATGTGAGCATATGTATGCATTTTGTCTTCCAAAACAATGCCTCAGAAACCTAAAGTTACCCAGTAGGTTGATATGTGTACCTTGGTAGGACGTGGCAAGCTCTTTGAGTGGCTCGTCTCCCACACGGTGCTCCTGGACCTGCTAGTTGGGGGAGGATTGTACGTAGTCTGTGCTAGTAGAACAGATGGGGATGGGCTGCAGTGCGAATGCAGCTGATGGCCTAGTCACTGGAAAACCCTAGGCCCCAAGTACCACGGGTTGACATGCATCACCGCCTAGAGTCAGGTGACCACACGACTCCCAAGTGAAACTGACCATGTCACAGAGCTCCGAGCAGACACTCACTTTGGAAGAGCCAGAGCTGGTGTTATTGAGAACCACAGCCACTGGTGGCCACAGCAAGGACCTTGTCCTCTCCACGGGCCTGTCCCGCCTGCCAAGACCCACACTTCTCGTACGTGTCAAGAAACTGACCTTGCTGTGAGTCAGCCAGGCTCTCAGTCAAACCTGGAAGCAGAGGTCTTGGGCCCCACTAACTGGCACTTAGGATCCTCAAATTTTGGTGATCTTTTAAGACCCTTTCAACTTTTACTAATCACAACTAAATGGACTCTAGGCAGATGAGAAGAGAAAAGAAAGAAATGTGTGGAGTTGTACTCGCGGTAAGAAACCAGAAGGAACTTCTGCTTACTGCTCTTCAGGAGGAGCATCACTCAGGAGCCAGGACAGCTGCCTGAGGGGGCCCCCGGGAAGCCCACAGGAAGGTTGGCACCCGTGGCGTTGGAGTATTGCCATTTGACAGATGAGGACCCCGAGGCCTGGAGGATAAGCAATGAACTTGCCTGGTGTTACATAGCAGGAAGCCTCAGAGTAGGATTGAACCCAGATTACCCCGCTGTCGACCACTCTGCCCACGACTCTCTCTGAGCTCTGGCTCCTCACGGGGCTGGTGGGGAGGTGAGAACGCGCAGCTCTGTCCCTCAGGCTGTGTGGGAGAAGGGAACTGTTGTAGCCATTCTGCTCAGCGGGGCCTCTAGCAGAGGGCCTGAGAGATGCGATGGGGAGGCTGCCATGTGGCCCCGTGGCAGAGTGGCACATCTGGAGAACCACGGCCTGCTCACCTCTGATCGGTGTTCTGAGGAGGGTCCCTAGGCCACCATGGCTTTAGCTTCTGCCCCCTGCAACCACCTCCAGGTGTTCAGGGCTTCGGTGTACCATCCCAATCCAAGCCAAGGGGGTTGGCTTTCCATGGAATAAGAAATGCTGCTTGCACACATGAATAAATGAAGTCTATTCAGTAGAATAGGCTGGACTGGAATGAACAAATGAGTGAACCCAGGCCTGTGGGGGCCAAGGGGCCTGGTGCCTGGTGTGCTGTGGGCCTCCCC